TCCTCTACAGCTGGTCCAGGATAGCTTCCCACAAGAAAAAAAGAATGCTACCTTTTCCCTAGACAGGTTCCCGTGAGACTGGGACATGTACTAGACACATTTTAGGACAGCATGGCAGATACAGACAGCAGAGCTTGTTTAAAGCAGTTCAAACTCTACCAAAAGTTCAAATTAAACAGTTATCGGTCTTGAAAGAGTGGAGGGGGATGAAGAGATGTTTCATTCTCTGATGCATCTTGAAAGTTGGTAGTAAACTGTCACCAATACAAGGAAAGTCAAGACTGGTTATTTATTAGTATCTTGCCTCTGCTTGAAAGAGCCCTGCTTAAAGCACTCTGTTGATTTAGCAGTGCCTCTATAGCCAGAACCTTCAGGTGCAAATGTGAGAAGACGCCAAAGATAATTTTCACTGAACAGATTTGTGGAAACAGCCAGAAGGAATATAGTAATGCAAGAGATTCTTCTTAAGCTACGACTTCCTCTATCCTGTTGTTACAGAATGAGCAGCTAGCAAAGATTAAGTTCTCTACTACTAGCTCTGTGACTCAAACTAGAAAGTCACTTGCACATCAGAAAATAGGTTAAGCTAGAACATTCCAGACTGTATCTGTCACTGAAGGTGTTGTGTGACCACTGAACTGCCTGTTTGACAGGAGGCCAGTGATCCGAGCCCTAAAAACCAGAGGGGACCTATGACATTCCTGAACACATCCGAGAATGCTTTGGCTGTTGCAATTAGCATATGGTATTTGCACAGCCTTAAAGAGAGACAAGAAAGCAGATTCATCTGCTAAGAACTATGAAGGGTTCAAAACGTTTAAAGAGCCAAAGCATTGCTTGGACCTTTTAAGGAAACAAAACCCACACCACTGTAGTCACTGCCACATGATACTAACTCTAAAGTGCTAAACAGAAACTGATTCTCTGGCTAAAGCAACTTTAATTTGTACTTTAATCAACCACGTGGGTGGGAAGGTATGAGACTCTTGTATGCTACTGAGCTAAGCACAGCACATCTGGAGTTCAAGCAACGCCATAACAATGCCAGGTGCATCTCCGGTCAGATACAGGGACATGCATAAGACAAGGATGACACGTATGTAGGAGCAGCAATACAGACTCTTCAGCATGTATCATTTCGAACGGAGCTGTAAGAAAAAGGTAAACAATCAAGTGTGCCAATATGACACAGTTTGCAGGTCAAATACTTAGCCAGTCCCAAGCTCTGGAGCTTTCATAAAAAGGAGGAGTTTTTGCCCAAGGGTAAAAGAAAAATTAAAAAGAGGAAGAACCCAGAGGGAGAGGTCAGTCCCTGACAACAAAATAAGCTCCATTCAAAGAGTATTAACTATGATGAGCGTGTTCTTAACCTCTCTAGTAGTTACAGACCAAAGGAAAAAAAGACGACATTACAAGCTGCATGACTATACAACCGTACCTTCTATAGGTTCTGCCAAGACTAAAAAATCCTAACTAAAGTTCCAAGTATTTCTAGTATAAACTGCACAAAGTTTGAGTGGATGTGGACTGGAATTCACAGATAGGATAGAAACACTACACATTTTCAGCATGCTTACTTTGCATTTCTCTCCTAAGTATTCCCATATTTGGTATTTCCTTGGATTCTGTCTCCAATTCAAATCCTATTCTGTAGAGCAACAAGTGTTTAACTAAATAATAAAAGACTATTATTAGCAAAGTGGCAAGTACCACTAGCTATGAGAAGAACAAGTATTTGGTTACAGACACTTTTTCATATCCATTTGTCAATTTGTTTTGTTACCCATAATAATACTGAATTTGTCCTTGCTGACTGCAGCTCCAGCCGTAGGAATTTTTCCGGGTAACTTCTGAATTCAAGATTCATTTACTGTAAGTTAGCTACTACTGTCAAGCAAGCAGCTCATCAGAGCACTACACTGTAAGAGCAAAGAAACTGCACAAAACAAAGTAGGGAGGAAACTTGTTTCAGAAAGCCTGCAAGTTTTAATATAAGATGTCAGCAGTATTAATCAACCCCTAGCGTAACAGTTTAAAACTGCCCAGGAGGAAAAGGCCTTGCTACAACAAACATTGCTCTAAATAGTGAAACATTTAAAATGGAAAGCAACTTATTCCCAGAAAAAGGACATTCCTTATAAAAGGAACTGATATAATTTTAGCAGTAGTGCTGCTACCATAGGTCGTGCCTTGTCCAAAGCATTTCTTGGCAGCACATTCCCAAATATATTCCTGCACCTTGTTTCTATGCAGATATAGACTACTGTTGTTTTCAGAGTTAAAAAAAACAGCAGAAGTGGGCATGTAGAAAGATAATGAATCAATTTACATGCAGATGCCTTGTTATTCAGCAGTGACAGTTACTCCTTCCCACCAAGTACTAACCTGGAGAAGTTTCTGACCATGAAAGGTTGAGTAGGTGGATTAAAAATACCAAAACAAAAACAAATGCCAAAACAACTCAGCAACTTTATTTAAGTTACTTTTGAAGTGTTTGTTCTGTGAAGGGCCTAGTCTATAAAATTCAGGGACAATTTTTTTTTTTCCCCCTGAAATCAACTGCTTGCTCATAGCAAACTCTACACAATCCTTTTCTACTGTATTCTAGAGAAGATGTGCTCACATGCGAGGAGAGCAAAATGCTAAGCTGCAAGAGCTCTTTCCATACAGTCATGCAACTTGTTAGTGGATGCGTAACAGAAACTAAGAATAAAACACTTCTACAGCAATGCAGTATTACACTTCTACCTCCCTGCATTTTATTCTGGAATAGATTACTGCTATAAATAAAGGAATTTAATAGCTGCAAGCCAACCACCTACTTCAGAAGGCAAGGAACGCTGCCAAGAGAGCACTGGAACAGGCTGCCCAGAGAATTTGTGGACTTTCCTTCTCTGGAGACATTCAAAACCTGCCTGGATGCAGTCCTGTGTGACCTACTCTAGGTGGTCCTGTTCTGGCAGGGGGTTGGACTAGATGATCTTTCGAGGTCCCTCCCAACCCCTAACGTTCTGTGATTCTGTGAAAAGAGAACGACAGCAACATTATCCCACTACTGCACTAACACACAGCTTTCTCTCTGATTACAGCAACATATGACTTTTTAATCTAACTTTAATCCTCCCATTAACACTCCTAATCAAAGGGAAATAAAAAAACTTGACTCCTGGTTTTTGTTTTGTTTCTTTTTTTTTTTTCCGCCTTTTGCTCAGTAAAAGTAGGGGAAGAGAGAAGCAAAAGCATCCCCAGTCCCCTTTCTGCTGATAGGCCTCTCCTGTATCATGCATTTCAAGCCCTTTCAAGTCACAACCTCTTCTTACAAGCCTCCTTTCTGATTGTGGAAAGCTCAAAAATGCACTTACTCCTCAGACATTAAATGTATGGAAACTGCTTTTATTTTACACTTACTGAAAATATTTCTCTCCAACTGGCTGCTAGATCTGAAGACCCACTCAGCACTTTATCTAGAGCTAACTTTTACCTACAGAAAATATATTTTGCTACATAAAGCACCAAACCAAGACCTTCAGACCTTTCATAAGACAGATACAATTAATAACATGACAGAGAAGGCTATGATAGCAGAGTATGAGGCAGAAGAAAGTTTCTAAGATCCCACAGTAAGTGCTGTACGTTTTCTTTTTCCTTCTTATTGCTACTCACATACTTGCCCTTGCTGCCAGCACTCCATTTGTTTCACCTTGCATGTATCATCAGATTTTCTTAGTTGCATTAAATTCTTCACACTTCTTCGTAGCTTTGTAAGTGAAGCAGTGTGACATCAAGCGTACATATTTCATCTCATCTATCTGTTTCTTCCTTATGATTCTTAAAGAGGTGAGCACCTGGGTCATGACTCCCTTGATAGGAGAATCATTTCCTACAAGGGCCACAAATTTTCCTCAGGTTCATGTTTTCAAAGCTATCTAGCTTCCAGGCTTGGACTGTTGCAAATCTTCCACCTAAGCGACCGTATCGACCGTATCAACAAGAAGACTGAGTTAAGATTCAGTTTTGCTCTAAGCCAACAAGCACGATAGCTCTTCTTCTACTCTGAACGGTACCAAGCATGCAAGTTTTACGTGAAACCACACAAAGAAACTGAGCCACAAAGAGATCTCAACTGTTCTACATTCTGCTTTGTCTGCTATGGTTACCAACAGCCCATAAACACATTAAAAACCCCATACACAATGAGAACAGCTAACGCTCACAGCAAACCAGAAATAGCAGCATGGGAAACTTAACTTTCAGTTAGTACTTGAAGTGAACTATCAGTAGTGACAATCCAGGCCTTCTAAAAACAAAGCAACACAGTTTAGGCTATACAGTCTATTAAAAACAGTAGTAATACACTATCTAGTTCTACATAATCTTCTCTTAGCAAATGCTTAACACAGGACTTTATGACCACTGAAAAAAGTTAGAAAAAACATTTTTTCTGGAGTGCTGCAAAATACTGGTTTTTTTTCCAGAACCCCAGGGAGAAACCAGATTCATTTTAGTTACAACACAGCAATTTTTCATTGTTGTTCCTGAACACATTATATTAATACTAAAAGCCGTCTACTTAAGCTAAAATAAAATTAAGACTACTTCCTCAAAACAGATTCCTCTGCCAAAATTTAACATTTTCAGGTTTTCTGCTTCTACCTTTTAAGGGGCAAAATAAATTACTCCAAGCAAATAAGCAGGAACAGTTTATTGTGACACTTGCAGCTTTACCTTTCTCAAGCAATGGAGCACTCTAAATTTTCTTTTAACCTGTCAATTTAAGTATTTCATCTACATCTGCATCTTTTCACCTGATTTAACACAAAAACAGAAGCAAAAGAACAAACTCTTGGAAACATAAGGAGCTGCATCATGGCAAATGTATTCTTTAATAGAAAGAAAACCTCCTACTGACCTTTATTCAGAATAAGGAACAAGGTAAATATCCACAGCTCTTTGTTCCATTTGGTAGGATTTTAAGATCCATCTATGCATGTGTAAGACACAGTGGAATCACCTAAACAGAGATTTTATGTTCCATCATTTTTACATGCATTCCATCCTTGGTGTGCTGCTTATAGTACAGGGATTCTGTTCTTCATCTACAGCAGTTTCAATTTAAGAATACACCATAAGCCAACTTAAAAGAAACATCCATTAGTTGCTAATAGGAAGAGTCACAGGAAGGTCTCACAACAGTTTACTAAAACATCAAGGTTTTTTTTTAAATCACAGTTTTAAAATATAAAAATTGGACTTTCCCTGTAACTGAAATATATTTACATAAACATTTTAAAAAGATGGTCTGTAACTTAGATCTAATCACTGTCATCTGAACCACCTTCAGACCCATCATCGTTGGATCCTTCTGGTTCAGATTCGTTACCAGATCCTCTGCCAGAACCCTCATTGTCAGACCCTCTCTCAGAATCCCTGTCTGAGTCAGCACTGCGAGAAGCTGGGCGAGATTCGTTTTCTGAACCACCAGAACGACTTCTCCCCGACTGTACGGACTCGTTGTCAGACTGCTCCGAATCTGACCGCCTCCTTTTTCTAGCCGACCTGTCACTGTCAGAATCTTCCTCAGATGGGTGGACGCTGGACCTCCTCGGACTACCTGCCTCGCTACCAGATTTGTTTCTGTTATCAGAATCGCTATCAGAAACAATGCGTTTACTGTGCTGCTGTTCCCCATCATCTGAATCACTGTTGCTATTCCTAGCATGTCTGTAAAGAAAAGAAAAAAAAAAAACAACCCAATATTAAAAGATGCTATCCTTAGCTTAAGAAAATGAGACACCAGGATTTGAGTAATGCTAGCGTTATCAGAATGAGAAGAATGAGTGGAATTACTTTGCAATGGAAAGTGATGTTGAGTACAATGAAAGGCTTCACATGGTCTCATTATTATTAGCACTGTAGTTTCTCTTGAAAGCATGTGCTGAAACTTCAGTACATGCAAAGTTAATTAAGGTTCTTACCCATCATCAGCAATTTTCAGTTTATCCTCATCAGAAGAATCATCACTTGATGAAATGATGGCTTTTGATTTGATCTTTCCTTTCATTGAAGGAGGCAGACGTTCTGGTTTGGGCTGTATAGGGGAAAAACAGAGTGTTGCTTGTTCACGTGGCTGGTTTAAAGCCTAGTGCCCAAATGTAGAAACATATTCAGAAAAACAGACTTGCTTTTGAAAAATTTTCCATTTACCATCACTTAATTCTAGATGGCTTTGGAAATACCCTTTTCGTCCTTGAAGCAGCAATAGCAACAGGGGAGGAGGATAAAAATAAGCTCAAAGGCAGTTTGCTACAGGACAGACATTAATAAATCGCTCTTCACTACGGAAATGCTGAACTCCAAATGCATATTTAGAAAGTGATGCAGTTATTCAGAGTTGAACTTACAGCCTTCTTTTTCTCTGCTTTGGGTGGACGTCGTTTTTTAGGTCTTGGACCATTTTCATGTTCCTCATCATCACTCCCCTCATCTGCCTTCGGGGGTCTTAAACAGAAATGTATTTTACATAACGTAAAGCATAACATCGCAAAGAAACTTAACGCATGCAAAGCTATCGGTCTCAAGAAATGTCCAGTTTAATCAAATGTTACTCACACTCCTTTTACAGAGTGGCTGTTTAAGTCTTATGATGTACATATGTAAATAAAACTTAATCATGTGACCTCTTGACAATGGCTCATTTTTTTAAACTGTTATGAAAGACTGCACGAGAATATATTTAAAAGCCATACTATTTCTCAGGAAAGTCTAATATTAAAAGTATCAGTTACCTCCTCCTCTTCTTCTTCTTTCTCTCCCCCTCCTCCTCTTCCCCATCTTGTTCACTACCACTGCCCTTCCTCTTCTTTTTCTTTCTAGACATGGGCAGATCTTCATCACTGTCATCGTTGACAAACTCATCAAATTCACCTGCTCCTTTTTTGGAACGCTACAATACATAAAAGCCCCACGATATAGCCTATTATTCACCCTCCAGTTAAAAAGCTACCAGAAAACAATTCAAAATGTAAAACTTGAACTCGTTTTCAAAGATATGAAAACACAGACCATCTTCTGCCAACTTTCCCATAATCTCTAGATTGGTATCATTTAGAAACAGATTCCAAGTTTGCATATTAAAAAAAAAATCTTTGTTATTTTAACAATTGATTAGGACAGATTTTGGTGATACTACCATGCTTGGAACTTGTTAAATATTAGCCTCCAATTTTTACATTTGAGTACTAAACCTGTGCAATTTCACTCAGTGGAGCCTATGAGCTTGAAATTAAAAACTTGTGCTACTGCAAGAGATCATATATCAAAAGAGAAAATTAAGGAGATTTAAAAAAATAATAAAATTCTGTTCTACCCTGCCTCCACCACCACCACGTTTTTTCTCCTTTGATCCTTCTACTTCTCCAGTGAACATCAGAATATTCTTGGTTTTCTCCACATATTGAGCTCTTTGCTCCAGAAGTTTCTTCTGTTCTTCTTTTTCTCTTAGGCGCTTCTCTTCCTGAAACAGAAAACTAACCATTACTACTGTATTTGCAGCGTCACAGCAATTATAATCACAGGTATATAAATGATTCGCTGGCAAGAAACTGGAAAATTGACTTTTGACAGTCTATGTGACAGCAAAAGGTTCACATGACCAAAAAAAAGTTTTCTACACACCTATGCTACAGTAGGCAAAAGTCAAAAAAATTACTGCATCAAGTGCTTCCTCATCCAGCCTATCAGTACAGAATTTGATGGCAGACCTTCTGGGATGCCAATTTTATGTCATTATAAAAATAAGAATCTATTTCTGAGACTATAGGGAAGAAAGACTGAGTATCACCTGTTAACTATAACATTTTCTGCTACCTCTTACCATAACTAAGAAAAACAGCTATGAGACATTAGCATATAGATTATAAATAGCTACTAGACATTAGTAACACCAGGTACACTACAAAGCAACAGGAGCATACATATTGTTGATATGTATACCTTTTAAAAATAAAATACAGGGGTTTTAAAATGTAATACACAGAATGTAATAGAATAAAACCTGTTCTTTCAGTAGTTTTTGGCGAAGCAGCTCTTTTTCTTGCTCTTGCTTCGCACGCAGCTCCCTCTCTTCTTCATCCTGCTTGCGTGCCCGAGCCACATGATACTGGGCTTGACTCAGTAAGTCCGAACACTGCCTGTAACATGCAATGATTTCAAGTAAAGGAAGGTGGCAGACACACTACAAGAAGAAACAGTTTTATAAAGGGCCTCCATCACAACACTGTTTGTATCACTGACAAGAAAAAAAGCTAATTGAAAGAGCCTAATAGAAGAGTACAGTAGTACGGATTTTTGAGTAAACTAAAGCACTTTCTAGTAAGCTAATTTATCTTGCAATATACAATTTGAGAACATACTGCTTCACACTTAAAATTTAGCCAATTCATATAGAAAAAACCCCGCATGAACATAAAAGGAATCATCCAAACTCATTTGGACAGTTTCAGAAGTATGGTTAATAAGAATTTGTTTTTAAAAACAACATACCAACCTAACTGGAAAGGCAGGTAGAAATACTATCTTAAAAAAACTCAATTGTGCAAGAGTTAAGACTACATAAAGTGTTCAGTCTCATGAAACGTTAAAGCAAGGTGCTTTTAGTACCCTCCCAGTTTGTTTGTAGTGTTTTTTTTTACCTAGCTTCCGTAGCAGCAAGTGCCAAGTCAAATCTCATCTTATCACCTACTTTACTCAAGTAACTGAAGTACCTGGAGGAAAAAACAACAAACAAAAATGAGCAAATATGGCATTACTTACACATTTACTGTAATTGTGCTTTAAAACAAAGCATTTAGTCCTGAATCACAATCCTATAGAACTCACAGATGAGGAAACTCCACCAGTTCTCTGTGTGCAGCCCCTTTTAATACAACGGTATAAAAGTACATTTAGAGTTCTCCAAATTTAAAATGTTCTAAAACCACTCTAGAGCAGAGTAAAAACCCAGAAAAACTCTAAAGAGAGTTCTACAATTTCATTTACTGGCTCCGAGCAGTCAGTACATTGCTGACCCCAGTAGATTTATTCCTTATCTGTCACAGCTTAAGTGCTTGAAACCAGCATAAGGAAAACCTATTTTTAAAAACTCCTTCCAGAACAGCCTCCTTGAACCTAGCTGACAGGCCCCTGCAAATACAACAAACGGTCAAGTCGATGGGTAAGCTATGATGACCAGCGTTTTCAAAACAGTTTCTCCGATTCATTTAAAGGAAAACAACTTTCTAACTTTCAAGGTTGCCACAGTTTCTTCCCATAGTCCACCACAAGCATTTTAAATGAAGTGGCTTTGTGCTAGACTGAACTCAAATTCTTGTGCATATGATGAAAGTAATTCCCTGCTCAAGTTTTAGATTATAGAAAATATCTTCCAAAATGTGACAGATATGTGGATTTTCAATTAATGGGTAAAAATAAAGGCTTTAATGCAACTTTCTGAAGACAATAAATAACAAGCTTCTAACTGAATTTAAGTCAGACTTTGTGTTCAAATATTTAGTTTGCATTATGCAAAGCACTAGAAGTATGAAATGCTTGCTTGTATGAAAGGCTTGTTTCAGTTGACAAAATCACTGAAAGGCAACATCTACCCTTGAAACAGCAGAGCTAGGAATGCATAAAACAAGCACAGCTACACCAGCAATACCTAGGAGCAGAATAAATGGTTGAAAGCTTTCTATGACAACAATTGGATCAGGTTATTTACACTGTTTTCTGCCCAGATTTTTTTTTTTTTATTAGGAGAACTGAAAGATCTCAAATGCACTTAAGAAACTGCTTCTGTTCCAAAGCCACGAGAGTACTTAGGCTTTACTTGCCAACAGCAGGATGAATTAGTTTTCAAGGACTACCAGTCATTAACTAGGTTTATATTATATAAATAATTTCGTTTTGAGCCTTATAAGAAACAGTCAAAAAAAGTATTAATTCGTAGAATAATTTTCAACATTTTTTTCAAGTATGCTCTTCCAGGAAGAAGTGTATCTTTGTCAGAGTAATACAAAGCCCTTTGAGAAAAACATATTGGCCATCTGGCCAAACAAAACTGGGTCTGGAGCAATGTCTGCACATGTAGTTTTGTCAAGCCCAATCTTTGGTTTCCTACTAGAAACTCTAGAATTACATGCAGTGCTTCATAGGAGACGATTGCTCTTCTAACCAGATTTGTGACCTATACTGCAGATTTACTATAAGGGAACAATAAAACAGGTTATAATGACTAGAAATAAATCGTCTTTACCTGTGGGCTAGTTCCAGTTCTTTCACAGCGTTAAGCACCTCCTTTAGGTTGCTTTTTTCATCTTTCAGGACAGAGGTAGCTAGTCTTTGTAGCACTAAAGCCACATTAAACATAAGGACTGTATCACTTGGTGCTACGTGCCTTGCCTGTAAATAAAAAGCATGTTTTTAAGACACACTACAATGCGACAGAGGTATACTGAAGTGACATACAGAGAATAAGCACCATTATTTCAATCCCAGACTACTGAATATAAAGAGACACAAACATGCATCAACTTACAGTAATTTTGACTTGTGATACATGATGTTTTATATTCATACCTTTAACAAAGTTTGTTTGCATTCCTGTAATTTGCCACATTTGAAGAGTGCCCGGGCCAAATACAACAATACTTCAGTATTTTGATGCTTATAGAACTTTCTGAGGCAGTTTTCATACTAAAATGGGAAAAAAAAAAAAAAATAAAAAAAAAAATCAAATCAAGAGGTGACAAAGGTTAGCTATTTTTGTTAGCTAATATCGACAAATGTTTATATTCCTAAAAAGCATTACTGCCAATATGTCTTTTGGGTGGTGGTGGTTTTTTGGTTGGTTGGTTTTTGTTTGGGGTGTTGTTTTTTTGTGGTGTTTGGTTTTTTGTTGGGTTTTTTTTAGTTTGTTTGTTCGGTTTGGTTTGTTTTTTTTTTTTTGGTTTTGTTTTTCTTTTTTTAAGTGTGTCATGCTACATGGATGCCTCCTTTTCGCTGATCAGAAAATTCTCTCAACTATTCCATAGCAAGTACATGATTGTTCTGGAAACTGGCAGCACTCCAGGAGGCTCTGTAGGTCTTAAAATACAACCGAATGCTTTGCAAGTACCATCTATTGTAACAAAGTCCAACAAACATAACACATTTTAAGAGCACTCAATTATTCTTTGCAGTACGGGGAGGGAGTAGGGATCTATTTTCTTTATTCATACAAGGTATTTTACAAATTAAAATATGTTTAATGTAGCAATTCCATATATCTGAAGCAATTGGTTAAAAAAATTCACTCCTTTTAGATACCTCAACATCAAATTTGTTCTGTTCACCTAGCTGAAAACTTGGCATGCCAAGGGATATCTAGTTGTTCTAAAGTGTGAAAGATGACTTGTTACTATTGGTCTTGTGGGTCTAGAATTAAAGCTTCAAACAGTTATAAAACTTATCCTTTTCAGTAGTGAGTGCCTTTTGTTTGACATACTCTTTTCTCAAGGAATCACTCATCCTTTCTAAACCTCCAAAATAGTAAGAAATACGAAGCAATTTTTATTTCCAGCTCAAATACAGAAACTGCCCTGAACTTTAATGGCTGAAGTCACTACTCTTGGATTGCACCATGTTGTGAATGCCCATTTTTCACTCACCTTTGGAGTCACAGGTTTTGTATTTAGCTTAAGTCTGCCTCAGATTTGTATGCTTTATGGTAGAGAACTCACTCGAATAATTGCTATGGCTGCAATAAGCTAGGCTATTAAATCAAATTCATCTCCCTTTGGGACCAACGTCACATATTTCAGACTATGGCTTGTACCGACTGCATAGTAGAACCCAGGAAACAATAAAACACCTCAGTAAAACACATTTCCACTAACAGCTTTACTTAAATATATTAGCAAATGACCACAACATTTTTCTGATAACTCCAAAGGTGAAAACGATTCCCAGTTTCCCACTGCAATTCACTGCTTAAACAATGGCTAAAAATGAGATTTTCATTAGGCTTTTTGTCATTAAAAACAGATAAGGCGTTAAAAAGACAACAAACCCCATTCAAGCACAACAGAAGAATCTGACCATGTTACCAAAGCTTTTTAACAGTAGTTCATTGGAGGATAGCAACTACTGAGGTCTTGATCATGCAAAAAAGGCCCAGTATCACTTCCTTACAACCATCACAAAAAGTTTCAGGTTTCAGGATAGTTCTGAATTCAGTAATTTTGAGCCACAACATGGACTTGATCTTACTGAAACGTTTGTTCTGAGCTTCTGTCCTGTCCAATACAGGCTTTTTTTCTAGCTTACTTGTATGACTTGATCAACTAATCAAGTCAATTCAGTTAGAATACGCTGGATACTTGGAAGTTATCTTGCTTGAGCAGGTTGAGCTAGATGACCTCAACAGATTTCTTCCAACATGAATTACCTTGTGATGTTAACTGTGGTGAAAGAAATCATGGCACAGTCTGCTTTTGAGACAGCTCTGATTGCTATTTATTGTCATTTGCAAGAACGAAGTGCATTTGCAAAAATACAAAGTGTTGATATTAGAAAAACCCCAGCAGCAAATTGCATTTACTTACTGAAGTAACATCTGAATGTAAGTCACATACAGCAACTACACACTGACTGAAACCTCTGTGACTAAAAATTAACGCCAAGACCAAAATTCTAACTGAATTATGTTTTAACTCTGCTACCAAAAAAGTGTACAAGTTGGTAGGTGCTTTGTTACCCCTTACCCACATTTGGCAGTTTGTTTTTAAATCTAGACTTGACAGCCAACAGCATGCTAGAAATAGACCCATAAGTTGTTAAAATATTATTCAGAAACTTTTGCAGCTGCTATGGCAGCAGAGAAACATCCAGAAGTCATCTACCCCAACACGTTATGTAGTTCAATTTGAAGATGTTACCATCTGCACAGCACTGATGTATTGTTTCTGTTCTACGTAGATATGTGCCAAATTCAGCCACACATCACTGATATCTGCTGTTGCCTCTCTCACTTGGGCAAAAACATCACGAGCTTCGCGGAAATATCCTTTATGCGCCAAGACAGCTCCTAAGAGGAAAGGAATATGCACAGTATAAGCTTCCAGGTTCATGTACTATGTAGTCCTACCAAAGAAAACAAAATACTGCCTGAACAAAGTTCCTCATTACAAACTAAGTGACGCAGCTGCCATATGAAAGCTATTCTTTCCTGTGCTCCACTACACAGCACTCAGGCCCTGCAAGAACAATTGTATATTAAAGCATGAAACATAAGAACACCATCATCTATGAAGGAAAATTAAAGCCCAATATTCACCTATGCCATTAGCAGCGTACAAGTTCTTTGGATCATTTCTGAGCACTTGCTTGTAGATCGCTAATGCACGGTCTTGATGACGCTTCTCCTGCAGAAAGAAGTATCCCAATTGATCACTCATTTCCATAATGGAGTATTAAAGGATCTACCCAGAAGTTTTATGGACTATAAGATGCCAGACAGGCATTAAGAAAAGGCTCTGAGTAGCTAAGAGCATAAAAAAACCAAATAAATAAAGCCACACATATGACAGACAGATGCCCATTACCTTTTCTCTGTCTCTTGTGGGTTGATGTAGAGTCTGCAACCAGACATTGCCAAGAGCCAGCATGGAATAAGTATCATTTTGTGTGGAGGGCTGTTTCAATATTCTTTCAAATTTCTTCTGTCCTGGACCCCACTCTTGTTTAGCCAAATGAAGATTACCAATCAGAGACCAAGCATCCGGATGGTCCTAAATAAAAATTCACTGTAAGTTTCAAAAGCATCATTTTCCCTTTCAAGGTTACCTTTTCAAGAATAAAATGCTGTTTTTCTTAAACAGAATTCCATATTTAAAAAAACCCAACAAATAAAACACAGAGCAGATTACAGTAGTTCTCTCTTCTTCCCCTAGTTTATGTGAATGAACAACAAAATAAAAATGCAAGAAAAGGAAAATAAAATTTTAAGTTAGTATTTCAAACATTTTAGCTTTAAACACTCAAAGGGATACAAACCTGATTTATTTGAAGTGCTTCTTTAAACCAATCAGAAGCCTCATAAAAATTTCCTTTATCCCTAGCCATAGCTCCCAAGCGCAAGTAGCCTACAAATAAAAATAGAAAATAAAATAAAAATCAGGAAACAGGTTAAAGTCATCTCAAACAAAGAAAATATAGGCCATGCATGAATTTCGAAAGCAATCTTTTTCTTGATTTGCTAAGGACAGCAAACATTAAGACACCTTTCATATTCTGCGTGCAATAAGACACACCATGTGAAGAGGAACGTCCATCCACAATGGCAATACAGAAATTGCAGATTTCTAACAGTTAAAGTAATGTAAATGTTTTTAACTGGTTTCATAAGTTAAAGACAACTGAGAAACCTCAAAGAAAGAAGGATACATCAGTTACGTAACTCTCCTCCCTCCACTTTAAACAGATGTCCCGTCTCTGCAAACTTTGGGAAAAGTATCAGTTAGCAGGTGACAATTGAAAACAAGTAGGAAAAAGGCTACAGACTACGCTGGGGCATGCTGCGTACTGCAGCTTGCTAAGCAAGGGCTACCACCTTGCCTTTGCAGCAAATATCACAGCTCAGCTATTTGGGTGCAAGAGGAAGAGCAGAGTGAGAAGAAAAAACAGGATGTGCCATAGAAGCTGTGCTAACACCCTCAACAGCCCTTCTTCCCTGGAGGAAGGCCAAGGTCTAAGATAAAGTGTTTCTCCCAAAGGATCTCTGTTTCCACCCACATAGGTAGAGTTGCAGAGCCTGGACATATCAAGTGGATGGCCCTGATTGTACCTGAGTGCTGAGGTGCTAAGGCTTTGGTGTGGGTGGGAAGCAAGTGAGCAAAGGCATGCAAGTCTAGATAAGCTAATCTCGCTAGACTTTGAGTACGGTATGTTTTACCAGTAATTAGAAGGGTTAAAGCTGGAGATCAAACTCTAAGGAGGCCTTAAAAAAAGAAAAAGGTAAGGAAAACAGCAGGTAGGGAAGCAGGCCCCAAAACTACTATGAAAAGAAGTGAAAACAGATATAAGGAGACCAGAAGACACTGTAAATGGGAAGATCTTTGGTATTATAAGGACTGTGGAACTAAAATACCAAACGTTTCTTACAATCAACGTAATTAGGATGTTCTCTTAAAATGTTTTTATACAGCTTTTCCGCTTCATGAAATTCACACATCGCCTCATATAGTCTGGCAAGGTTATAGGACGTTGTTACAGAGATAGCATTGTAATAATGCTCATCATGTTCAGCTTCTGCTTTTGCACGATCCAGTGATGCCAAAAAATATTTCTAAAGTATAAAAAGAAAAAAGGAATAAAGCAATCCAGAATATTCTCAGAGGAAAACTTCTGGGTGATCAAGAAACTCAATTAAACCTTGACTAATTACATACCTTTGCTTCTCCTAGATTTCCCAGCCTAAAGTGCAGAGCACCCACATTATTCAAAATCTCTGGTGGGACATCAGCCTGTACTTTCTCTTGCAGAATGCGTGTGGCTGTACCATAGGCTGACAGTGCACCCTTTACAAAGGAATAAGAAGTGGATCAAAGTAGTAAGAGAATGAGCTCTACGTGCTTTTATGAAAAGCACACACATAATTCACCTAAGTGTAAATTAGTAATACCTGTATATCAGTCTGTTCCAGAATTTGGGCTAGCTCAATCCATGCCTCTACATCATCAGGATACTGTTCTGTGACCTTCTTTAGATGTCCCTGAAAAACAGTAGAAAATAATTATGCCTCTCTGTGGACATACAAACTTTTTAAAACAAATAAAGAAAAGAAAGAGTGAAGGTATTAACACTAGAAAGATACATCATACTGCAAAAGAAAACATCCTAAAGATCTGCACAATTTGGCCACAAAATAAACTGCACTAGTTTCATTCCTTCATTATTGCATTTTTCTGTAGAATGTAACAGCTGCTTAAAAGTCTTAGAAAAGCAGAAATTATTATACCAATACAATAAGGTAGAAAAAGGTCTAATATTTTCTGCATTTATTTACCCAACATCACACTTAAAATCCCTTTCATTTAAACCAAAAAAAAACCAACACCCCCCCCCGACACACG